GCTGAAATAAGGAGACCCAAACGCCCTGATGCTGCTCAGAAAGAGGGACAAGGCAGCTGTCTGTATTATAAATGGGAGCCACTCCGATTAAAGATTCAGATAACCCACTTAAATAATTTAAATCCTGCCTTCATAAACAGGCTACACAAAAGACACTGGACATGTTGCCTCTGAAAATTAGACAAAACCCAAGATAACTGAGTTGCTACCATCAAAGACAATAATGTGATTGGCCTAGGAGTCTCACACAGTCAGTATTTTGAAATCCTAAGTACAGAAATTTATGGTCTTTACTGTTATTATCTGGCTTATCTGAACTGTCCCTAGGGATTTAGAAAAGTGATGAACCTTTAAAAAAGAACCCTTATCTTTTAGATGTATATACTGAAGTATTTATGGATGCAACTACATAATGTCAGGAATATGCTTCAAAAATACAGGGAGGTCCTGGGTGCACTGGTGCCCACCCAGTGACTCAGGAGGCTGAGGCAGGATTGTGAGTTCAAAGCCAGCCCTAGCAAATTAGCGAGGCCTTGAGCAACTCAGCAAGACCCTGTCTCTAAATAAAATACAAAAAAGGGCTGGAAGTGTGCTCAGTGGTTAAGCTCCCCTGGGTTCAATCCCCTGTACCAAAAATTAAAAAACAAAACAAAACAGGGGAGGAACTGGGCAAAGCAGCACATGCCTTTCCTCCCAGTGACTTGGGAGGTTGAAGCAAGATGATGCCAAGTTCAAGGAAAGCCTTAAAAACTTAGCAAGCCCCTCCCTGTCTCAAAATAAAAATTAAAAGGGCTGGGGACGTAGCTTGGTGGTAAAGTGCCCCTGGGTTCAATCCCCAGTACCGAAAAAAAGGGAGAAGGAAGAGTTTATAGATAAAGCCAGATTGCTGAAACTGTGGAGACTAAGCAAAGGCTTGGGAGCTCACTAAACTATTCTGTCTAATTTAGCATGTGTTTCCATTTTTAAAAGTTTTTAAACTGGGCGCAGTAGTGCATGCCTGTAGTCCCAGTGGCTACTGGAGGCTGAGGCAGTAGGACCATGGGTTCAAACCTAGCCTCAGCAAAAGCAAGGCGCCAAATAACTCAGTAAGACCCTGTCTCTAAATAAAATACAAAATAGGGCTGGGGGTGTGGCTCAGTGGTTGAGTGACCCTGAATTCAATCCCTGGTACCAAAAAAAGAGAGTTTTTAAGTAAACTAGGTTTGGTGGTACATGCCTGTAGTCCTAGCAATTCAAGAGGCTGAGGCAGGAGGATTGCACGTTTGAGGCCAGCCTCAGCAATTTAGTAAAACTCTCAGCAACTTAGTGAGACTCTGTCCCAAAACTTAGGGGAAAAAAAAAAGAAGGTCACAGCTCAATGGTAAAGTAACTCTGGGTTCAATTCCAAGCACCAAATAAATAAATAAATAGAACTCAAGATATCTATCATGGGCTGAGGTTGTGGTTCAGTGGTAGAGCGCTTGCCTAGCATGTGTGAGGCACTGGGTTCGATCCTCAGCACCACATATAAATAAATTAATAAAATAAAGGTCTACACATAAAAAAAAAAGATATCTATCATGAGGGGTACCACTCCCACTTTTCTCTAAACTATTCCACTATCAAATATTTCTGGTCTTTGCTCCTCTATAATGTCTTCTGACTTGGGACTGGGAAAAAAAGAAAAAGCAAACCTGGGTGGTAATGAAGGCTACTAAACCATGCACAAATAAAAAAAAAAAAAAACCCTCTCATTACACTGTACATTATCTGATCCAAAATAGTAACTAAGATAGCTCAAAGGAATGGAGAGCTTCTCACGACCACCCTGAAAAATTATCCAGTTCTGGGCACCTAAATCAGCCTGTACTGCTTCTTATAAGCAGTGAGAGAACAGACAGAAGACCACACCACAAGATCCCCTCCACACTCCCAACCCACCAAGTGCTGAGACACGCACTCACCCCCTCTTCAGGTTCCACCAGGAACCATCAAGCAAAGAATTCTGACCCATTTCTACTTTGTGATTACAAGCTCAGTCCCAAACAGAAATCCAAAATTTGTTCCACCGAGATCAGCTGGGAAAATCATTAAAAAAAAAAAAAAAAAATGCTTCTAAAGAGAATTTCACAGAAGTCAGTATGATGAAACTTGGCAGAACATATTCTGAGCCACCAAACCTAAGAAGCCAGCTATGGGTGAAGAGCCAATAGACCTAGTTCTTTCCCTGCTCTAGCACTATCTGTGGGTCTCTGGGAGAGCTACATAGCCTTCTGGGCTTCCAAGCATGTGAGCTGCAAAGTGGGGATGAATCCTGCTTGCCCAGTTCCCACCTTGGAGAACCATGGCACCTATTCAGTGAAAACACAAATGGGCAGTCAGGTAAAGAAAAGCAGATGTGCAGCTGGCCTGACACTTCTGTGTTAAGGAAGCAAGAGGAAGTTTGGGGAGAGACACATCACCAGTGGCAAGAAGGTTCTTAAAAGAACCTGGGCCAGCAACCACAATTCAGCTACCTCCACAGAAAGTCATCAGTGACACATTTCTGCCCACTAGACCCACCCGAACAGTATAGTGCAGCCCAGAGTTAAGCAGGTGAGCACCTGGCCAACCTCCATACTGATGTGCAGGAGGTTGTAGGCCTCAATGGTACTGTGGGTACTGGGGTAAAGGGGGGAATACATGGGCCCCTTAAGAGTTTCTTTTTAGTTCTTCTTTTTGTTGTTGTTGTTGTTTATGTTTTTGGTACCAGGGATTGAACCCAGGGATGCTTAACCACTGAGCAACTTAGTGAGACTCTGTAATGTCTCTATAATAAGGGCCACAACCCCAGCCCTTTTTAATATTTTATTGAAGACAGGGTCTTACTGAATTGCTTAGGGCCTCACTAAATTGCTGAGGCTGGGTTTGAATTCACGATGGTCTCCCTCAGCCTCCCCAGTCGCTGGGATTGAGTTCTTAATGTTGCCGGGGCTGGGTGATGGGGCACCACTGTAATCCCAGCGAATAAGGAGGCTGAGGCAGGAGGATGGTGAGTTCAAAGCCAGCCTCAGCAATGGAGCAGCTAAGCAAATCAGTGAGACCCTGTCTCTAAATAAAATAAAAAATAGGGTCGGGATGTGGCTTAGTGTTGAGTATCCCTGAGTTCAATCCCCAGTACCACCCCGCCCCAAAAAAAGAGTTATGGTTGACACCCTCAGCAGCAGTGTGTCAATTTTACCTCTTGAAGACTCCTGGCTCCAACACCCATATGTATTTGAACACCCACTTAACAAATGTTTGCATGTGTAAGAAACGAACAACATGATCAGCACTTTGGGGATTTCCTACCACTGGAGCAAACCTTTAAAAGTGAACATGGTCTCCTGGTTGATGTCTCCGAGTCTTAAGAACACACACAGCCTGATGTCACCTCCACCTGAACTCCAGCAAGTGCTGAGGGAGACAGGAAGAGCTCAGTCTTGAGATCAGTGTCCCCAACAGCCACAGGCGGTGTGTGTGGGACCCTGTGCGCACCTGGCATCCGCAGTCCAGCTGAGCATCGCACCCCTATCGCAAAGGTGGACAAGGCCCTGGTGGAGTTCTGCTACACTTGGCACGTGGCCTTGGGCTCCCGCTCCTCCCTTCCCGCAACTGCTCACAGAAGGTACAGAAAGGAACATTTTTTATCCCTTCAGTAAGCGCTGTCTCCCAGACTAGAAAAGACGAAATCTAGAAGGACCAGTGCCAAGCATGCACAGCAGCCACCACGCTCCAAACAGGCTGCTAAGGGTCTGGCCTCTGCGGTGCTCCTTCCAGCGGCCCAAGGTGTGCACCGGGGGCCCAGCACGCACGCTGCTGGTGCAGGTCCTGATCCGGGGAACTCAGCCCAGAAAGGAAACGCCACCCGAGCTGAGCGAGGCCGGCCGGTTACCTGCTCTGCCCCGTAGACGGTGGCGAACTGGACGAAGTCCTCCATGCGGACGAAGCCGTCCCCGTCCGCGTCCAGGGCGTCGAACACAGCGCGGAGGCGCGCGTCGTCCTCCAGGCCGGCCGCGGGCTCGCCAGGTGGCGGCGGCGCGGAGCTGGGGTCAGCGGACGGGCCGGGACGACCCTGCGGCCGCTCGCCCACCGCGCGCGCTAGAGCTGGGCACGGGCCGCGGCGGGAGGGCGCGCAGAGCGCACGGTCCCCCGACTCCGCGGCCCCGCTCGCCGGCTCGCCGCGGCCCGGCGGGGAGGCCGGCCGGCCCGGCTCCATGCTCCGGCCGGGCCAAGCTAGGCGTGCGGCGGACGCGGGCGGCAGACAAAGGCGCTCAGGGCGCGGCGGCGGGCGCGGGCATCCCCGCGGCGGCGCGGGCGGGCGCGCGCGGGGCGCCCGGGTTGCTCG